TTCTCCTAACCTTACCTTGGTGGAAGGTAGGCCAGGGGATGGAAGGTTTTTTCTCTTTTTTTTGGGGTTTTAATTATCTATCCAAAAAAGGGGTTCCCTTTGCTGTTTACGTTTTTACACTTTGGATCAATGATATTTACATATAAATTTTAAAAATTAGTTCCATATAAGTAAACAGCCCGAAGTTTAACACCTATTTGAATATGAACATATATTGAGACTAGGAAGAAAAATAAAATAAAAAAGTTAGATAAATATTATATTTAAGGGAAGCGATAAATATACGAAAAGTAGTTAATAAATAAGTAGTAAATAGCGAGTATGCAATATTTACAATAGATAAATAAGATTTTTGTGCCAGCAAATTATGTGCCTGTTAGTTTTCGACTTAAGTTTTTACATAAATTCAAATATGTGGTGATTAGTGACCGTTTATCGATAATTATTCAGAAATCGTGAGATGCGGTCTGGAGTAATGTAGGTTTCAGAAAAACATTTTCTTTATCGTGCCCACGTTTCGATCTTTATTGAGATCATCTTCAGGGCTCAAACTGTTTCTGTGTAATTGTGCCATTCTTGCGTGTCGTGTTGGGGGGGTACTCTCAACACGACACGCAAGAATGGCACAATTACACAGAAGACAAACACTTTGGACCCTGAAGATGATCTCAATAAAGATCGAAACGTTGACACGATAAAGAAAATGTTTTTCTGAAACCTACATCACTCCAGACCGCACCTCACGATCTCTGAATAATAATTTCAAATATTCTTTATCGCAAACTAGTTTGTTTATGTCTGGAGGCCAATTATTTTTAAGGGACGTTTTGAGCGGTTTTTTATGCTGTTATAGAGAGGACAATTCAACAGACTGTATTTTGCGTTATCAACGGTCACACAGGTTGTGCAAAGTGGATTGTCCTTTTTGTGGAATCGAAAAGGATAAAAATTAAAGATTCCATGTCTCGTCATTAACTGGCTAATCCAGAAATCGGGTTGAAACCAAGTCGCGCTTTTCTGGGAACTAATACTGGGGAAAACGCGTGGGATAATCTACGATTGATACTATTGCCCCATCTTGTTTGCCATAGTGTATCTATCCATTTGTCGATGAAACGCAGCCGTTATTTTTTCGACATACGGCGAAAACTCTCTACGTCTACAGAGGGATCACTGTTCGGTAGGTTTATCGCTTTTACTTCCCTACGCTTTCTGAACGCAATTTGTCCATGTATGTGGAGGTATATTGGCGGAGCCGACGATAGGACTTGCGGCGCATGTGAGGTATCAGTTTTATAAGCTTTTGTTGTTCTTATAAACGCTATGTGTTGTCCTTGTTCCAAAGCTGTTCCATTTTTGTTGGTAAGCCGTTGTCCTTGAGCTGAAAGTTCTTACAGTGCTACTGGTGTGTAGTACACACTCTTTTATACTGTCAAAGGGACTTTAGGACTTTGAGAATCAAAAGAAGATTTGACGATCCTGCAGTTTCGAGAACGCGCATCTAGTTATTTCTCTTATTTTGGTGACGGGATGAGATGGATTGAGGTTGTGTCCCAGTTCTACTCCAAGATATTTAACTTGAACACTAGGTGTTTTTATTTCCTTTCGATTGTCATGATTGGAGCTGTTGTGGCTTTTCCTTGATGTAGCAATCCATATTACAAAAAATGCTTATGATAGTAGTTTTTCTTTGCTTTCCTATAACAACACTAGAAGCAGAACTGTTCTTGGAGGACACGTGTTAAGAGTAAATTTTTTGATCAGGGTTTTCGTTGATTTTTCAGATTGCTTGTATAGCGTTTGTTTTATAAAATAGAATTGTTGTATCATCCACATAGGTAATACTGACAGTGATGTTAGTGCGACGATTTTTTTTATAATCCATATTTCAACACAAGGGATATATATTATTATTATATATGAAAGCATGTTATTTCCTATAAAGCGTACAAAACAATTCATTAGGCACTAAAGTATATCATTCCGCTCCCCAGTGAGTCCCCCGTACACATCGATATTCAAAGTGTGGTAGAATAACAGACAAATAGGAGTTTACGAATACTAATTGGAAGTAGAACGGAACTATGGAGGGTGGAAAAGCTGTGGCGGGATATCTGGGAAATATGACGTTTCTGGTATGGTCAACTACAATCTCAAGGTTCTTAACAGTGGGAAAGTAAGAAATAGGATGATTTGTAATGGTAAACGGAGAGAAAAAGACTATGGCCTGTGATTTTTCTACATTAAGTTTAATACCATCTTTAGTGGCCCAGGAGCTAATTGAATTTAAGTCTTTCTGAATTTTTACAATTGCAGGCTGCATGTGCCCTGTCAGTAAGTGGAAAAGAAAGGTAAATTTGAGAGTAGTCTGCAAAAATATGGAGGGAGCAATATTTACGGAATTATGAAATTCGTTAATGTAGGAACAAAAACGAGATGAAGAGATACTTGACCCTTGAGCGAATCCAGAAGTAATGGGTTGGGGAGAGAATGAGGGCTTATTTGGGGTGGATGCTATTTAGGTACGATCTGGAAGGAAAGTTTCAAACCAATTGAGGAAACTGCGAGAGAAAGATAACTTTTTGAATATAGCAAGGAGAAGGGACTGATCTACTGAATCAAAGACTATAGAGATGTCCAGGAGAACAAGAACAAATTTTCGTTGGTCAATAGACATGTCACATGTTTTAAGAGAGCTGATTGTGTGGTAAAGCCAAGACGAAAACCAGATTGGAGGAGAAGGAGATTTGTGGTTCCTAAATAAGACCATGAAATGGACTAATTTTTCAATGGGTTTAGCTACGATAGAGAGGATAGACGTTGGGATAGATACTGCTTTCGAGAACAATAATTCTGATTCCCAGTTTCTTGAAAAGTGGTAAAAGTACTTTGTTTTAAATTCAATATTAATAATATAGAAAACATAATATTTCCCATTTCACTTCGTTCTGGGTAACAATTGAATTTAAAATAATTGCGGTTACTTGTAAAATTTGAATTCTCTTGTAAGAATTTGCCAAAATTCTGTTTCTGATAAAGTAAACAACAAATTTTTGTGTTAAAAGTATAAGAAAGCTTAATAGCAAACGCTATTAATAAGTAATATAAAAATTAATATAACATTACTAATAAAATATTATATAATATATAAGAATACATAACTAATAAAAAATAATATAAATTACTTCATGTTGTAAAGAAAAAGCAAATAGTTTAAAATTTTGCCACACGATTTTCCTGGGATTCGTTGAACGTCCGGACGTCTTTATCGTTTTTCCCTTTTGGACAATCCGACGAAAGCCTGATGAGAAACGCGATGATATTGTCCAAATCCTTTGTACTCGAGTAGTCGATTCGTGGATAATTAGATCTTTGATCCACTCTTTGTACTATTTAAAATTAAATTTTTGTGTGTCCATACCGTTCGGTTTTGGGGTTTGTCGATTCGCCTTTCTTTCATCAAACGGTTTCATTAAATGAGAATGAAAATCTGTACTGTGCATTTTTTGCAAACTAATAAAATCGTAGTATCATTACATTTCAATGGAAAAAATGGTCAAAACAATTACTTCAAAATATAAATAAAATCATTAAAAAATTACTTTGTATTACCTTGCTTTTATGCTAATTTGATGTAAGAACCTTTCTTTAAAATTTTTGACAAAGTCATTTCATAAAGGTCGCCAAAGCGACATAAACAATCGATAAGGCAGAGCTCCAACGCTTGAGGAGGCAGCGGCAGAGCCACGCGAATTTGGAGTTACTCGGTCGCTTGCAACTTTAGAAAGAAGATAAAGTAAAAATAAAAGTGTGTGACGTTATCAAGGACAAAGTGAAGAATTCTTGTGGAGTGGTTTTCGTTCATCAAGGTTCGTTACACTTACTTGTCCAGTGAAAAGGAAACAAAAAAAAAAAACTTTATACTTAATTACTTTCAATCATAAGAAATTATTCCCTTTTCCTTACTAAATTAGTTCTAACCATTTATAAGATATATATATTCGATTAATTAATTTGTTATTAATATAAGAACGTTTTCTTTTTAACGGGTACAGACTTATTATTTTATTTTATTTTTTATAACCATATTAATCCCACATCGTTATAAATTAAATATTTTTAGTAATTTCTTTCAATTAATTGATCTTTATGTAAGGTATTGGTTGTGATAAAAAAGCCAGTGTCACGAACGGGATTCGAACCCACAACATTCGGCTAAATGCGCCGCTGCTCTACCGCTTGAGCTATCGTGACTTCGATCCACTCGGACACCAACTTCCCACCTCAACCCAACCTTTCGAATTTTTCCTGCTTTTTGCCATTTTTCAAATGTCATGTAATCTATTCGATTTTCGGCGACAAAGGAAATGCTCACGGAGAGCCGGTGGAAAAGTTCTCGATAGTCTCAACCAATACCTTGCATAAAGTTTAATTAATTGAAAGAAGTTATTTGGTCAATCGTACCACGAAATCTAATGGATTTTAAATAATACTTTGTTTTATTTATTTGGATGAAAATAAATGTTAAATTAGTTATTTCCAGTTCATACATGTGTGAAAGAAATCCATTTCTGTTTTTCCTAAGTATTTATAAACAGCGTTGTAATTAGTCCCTTTCCTCTTTGATTGCCAGTCTTCGTTTTTTTACCCCATGCTTTTTAAACGATATTTTATTAGTCTTGAATGTGTGTTACACTAGTGCTTTTCACCGTTCCAGAAGTATCTATTTCATTTGCCTTGGTGCAAAACGTATTGGAACACCCCCTCTAGGGGTTCAGTGTCACCGGGTCGACAGTTAACAAGTATATCGGGGTTTCTCCCCCCCCCCCCTACAGAATATACATGTCACGTTTAGGTTTAATGGTCAGTAAATTCCAAGGGAAACTAATAGAATCTTATACTGTTATCGAATACGAGGATTTTCGTTCTATCATACACATTTTATGTTTTTTGTATGTAACAAATATTTTAATATTTAATAGTTGTTTTTTTGGAAATACCTTGGTCATAGCGAGTGCTGGAAAGTTGTCCCAGGCGAGACTGGCTTCTTCCCCGGTTGCACCGTGTTTCTGTCCTTTGTAAACGCGGGCTGCCGTGTTCGTCGTGACGCCGAGTCCGTCAGCGACTAGAAAGACGACGTTCTTCGCCCTGGCGAACCTCTCGCCCGTCCTGCTCCCGGCCCTTCTCAGAACCGCGGCCCGACCCATCTCGTACCAGTAGTCGCGGTCTGAAAAGAAAAACAACCAAGTTCAGAAACCAACAACAATGTGAAGGAAGATTGGAAATATAAAATACGAGGTACATGATAGAACTTAATAGAAAGGAATGCATTCTGTCATAAAGTGGGGGATGAATGACCATGAAAAATGGCCAGAAAAAAAGGATTTTTTTTTTCAAATACTAGCCAAACGCCTTAAGCAATCGCCTCCTCGTTCATTTTGATCGAGGTTTTAGTTTAGCCGCAGAAAGGAAGTTAGAAGTTGCTGAAGTTCACGTTTATTTCAATATCGTATTTTAAATCTGTAGTATATTATAGAAAAATCATTAAATTAATTGTAACTAATAATTAAATTATTTAAAACACTAGTTTTTTAACATGTACATATAATTAAAGAACAGAAATTTGTTCAAAGTAATATTCTAAAAGAGTAATTATTTCAAACATCCATACAAATCAATAATCAAATAAATTAATGTACACTGATACGTCTTATTTGTATAAATCCGTTTTTTGTTTATTTTTGTAATGTATAAAACCATTTATGAGCTCACAACTTCAGCTATCAAGCACAAGTTAACTTACTGAGAGCTGGTTGTTCATTTTACGTTATTTTGTTCTATTTTATGATTGAATTGTTTTCCGGAATAATGTATCAAAAGACAAGAAATAAATTCTTGTTTGTCTTTTCTTATTTAACCGCATGCAATCTGGAGAATAGCTTGAGCGATCCCTAAAATTTAAATCTTCAGTACAAATTGTGCGTGCCCCTTGTGTGTGAAATGTTGTAAGGAGTTTAAGTATCAGAGTAATGTATAAAATTGGAATGATTTAGGTTATAACATGTATAGTATATATTGGAGAGTTTTTTGAAAGGTGCGCCAGCCTGAAAGAGGGCGCCACAAAAAGATGGACATTTTTCTTCTGGGTTTTGTGTAATGTGTGTTTTTGGTTCCATCTCCGTGGTGCCTTTTTTGCCGAGAGGTGAAATGTTGGGAGTTTTGTATGTTCTTGGTGTCTGTGCTTGTGTGTGTGTGTTTGCGTGCGTGCGTGCCTCCTTAATTTTGTTACTGTTTTCGTCAATCACAGTGGACATGGTTTTGATAAATTCATCCAATTTTTTTGTTCCCAGCAATTCAGGCCAACTCTTAATGAAGCTGTATACAAGCACATTCATTAACTACTTTGCACTTCCTGCCAGAACATCTTGAGCATATGTGTTCAAGCTGTCTACTGTTGCTTTATTACTTCTCTTGGTATTCCTCCAACATGGCAAGGTTTTTGCATTTTTTCCTTTTCCCATTATTTTTTTTATTTATGTTCAAATTATTGGAAATTATTAGTAAATTAACAATATTAATTTTTTTCTGAGTTTTCTTACGCTCTGCTTCCAGTATTTATGGAAGCTAAGGGGATCTCCTTAGAAAAACTTGTATATAAGAAAAAAATTTAAATAAAAAACAAATCTTTCTAATATGAAAAATAACAGAAAAATATATACATTAATTATCAAAATTAATTATAAAAAAATAAAATAAGATTACTCACAATTAATACTCAGCTGAGATACAAACTATTAATTTTTAAATTTATGAGAGACAAGAAGGTTTCTGACAGAAGTCACATGGTCGACCCAAAAAAGAAAGAAAATCGTTTTTTCTCTGCCCAGAGGTTTAGATGAACCCGCGAAAAACTGTCCATCTTTTGTGGCGCCCTCTTTCAGACTGGCGCTTCTTTCAAAAACCCCTCCAATATATTCAATACATGTTATAAGGTAGAGATGAGTTACAGTAAACGACAAAAAATAATACGATTTTTGGTGGAAAAGAATAGAAATGTAAAAGAGAGTGTAGAAGTGTGTAAAGGGACAGGCAGCCAAAGAAATGAAAATCAGAGAGAGTAAAGGAGTGAGGAAGAAAATAAAAGAGAGAGTGAGAGAATGAGATAGACAAAAGGGAGAGAAAAAAGAGAGGTCATAAGAAGAAAGAAAAAGAGAGGAGAAATATAGAAATACGGTCTGACAGAGCGAATGAGTCAGTGTGAAAGAAAGAAATAAAGGAATGAATTTCACCCGATTTCTACGTTAGTACCGATTGGTTATGTAGATATATATGTATTGTATGTTTTGTGCCAATTTTGGAGTTGACAAGAGTGCACATTTTACACATACATATAAGGATATCAGGGTAGTATACATATAAAAGCAAAGATTCATTAACAGAACGANTGATATATATATATATATATATATATATATATATCGTATATAGTATTTATAGTATTAGTTAAATACAATTGATTAGACGATTATCTGCAATTAATTATATTGCATGTATCCATGTATGTAATTACATATCATCAATAATTCGTCGATCAAGCAAATCTACAATGCAGAATTATTAAACCTGCCAGTTTTGTAGATCATACAATTATCAATATGCGTATATATTCCATCCACTGTCCCGGCAAACAAGGTCAGAGAGTCAAAATAGTCAGATGATTTATATACCCGCCTCCTTGTCATCCTCTGACCGGAAGTTGAAATCTTAATGAGACATTAATTTTACACTTTGCCAGTTTCAAATATCCATCTGTTCCAATAACGAGCCATGTGGGTTTTCTCATTAATGAGAACCTGGGCACAGACCGTGCAATCCCAAACATCATTATTCTAATGAGGTGAATGTGAAATTAATCATACGTCAATCCTCCATTTGTATAATCTAATGGCGGGCTAAAACGACGAATCGTGCAAGCTCGACAATTTGATCATTTTTTCCGGGTAATGAAATAATAATTTTTGTACAGAAATTATTTCAGCTTAAAAAAATTTTATTTAAATACATAATATACACGTTTTCGCTGTAAATATAACTTTCTAAAAATGTTTTCTGTGTAAGTAAACCTTCAGTTTTGGTTCCTTCTTAAAAATTATTTTGGTAGACTGGCACGCTTTGAAATATGATGCATACTTCTCCTTGCAGTATGTTTTATGGGAAAGATAAATCTAACAGCTGCTTTTTTATTTATTACCAAATTGAAATTTGGTCATTATCGATTATTTCTGTGTGCCTATCCTTATTGGATCGGACTGTCAGATGTGGTAACACCAAATATCAAGTTCATCACCCCTCAGACAACACCGGGAATTATTACATAAATTAACAATTTTTCGCCAACTTAAAGATTTATTCATTTCATAATTTAAATTTATAACAGTCGATGGGTAGTGCAGATATGTTATTTTGTGCAAAAACAGTTTCAGAGTCATAGAGAAGTTTCCTTTTTTCCGTATTATGTCCGAGCTTTGAAAATTCTGGAAGATTTTGGTTTCTTAAACAATTATATAACGAAGAATTGTCCTCAGCAGTTTGATACGAGGTGTACATTAGTGAAAAGGCTTTCCTATGTCACTTTTCCTAGTTAGTGCCTAGCAGTTGCTAGTATATGCTCTATTCTCTGTCTGTTCCTTTCTCAATCCAGGTTCCTTCATTCTTACCTGCAACCTCTCCCAACCTTCGGTTATAAGGGGGGGGGGTGTTCGGGCGCAATATAAAGGTGTAACCCAGAGGGCGTGGCAACCTCTCTAAAGCACAAGCTGTACTCGTGTAGGCCTAGGGCCGACATGGGGCGGCGGGTGCTTTATCAGAGGCACACGTAGTTAGGGTACCAGATCCTGTCTGCATAGACAGGGGAAGGTGCATAACCATCTGTACTACGGGGTAACAGAAATGCTCCAAGGTTCAGGCCCTGTTACACTGGGAATGGACTCGTAGTTGGCCGTGGCGATCTGGAGAAGAGGTCTTCTATCTGTGATCTTCGCACGAAACTTGCGTATAAACTTCGTTATTCACCCGGCCTGACGGGATACGAGGGATCGGACCGAAGCGTATAAGCGTTGAGAATGGTGATATGATTACGCGGACGGAGTCCCTCGAAGGCGTGAGTAGTGGCGGATGGAAATGGGTAGTGAATCGGTTGCTCCTACTCAAGTATGCTTTGCACGTAGGTGTAGCCTGAGATGATTGGAGGCTTTTACCGTAGCCGGTCTCCTCTAAGGGGTGGCTAGAAATTCCACTTTAAACGAAACCGCGGACGGAGCGGATCCGGTAGTGTCGACGCCAGAGAAGCCCCAATACTCTGGGAGGTAGAGTGCCCTTCTCTATCTAGAGAGTGCATGGGAGACAAGGCTGATGTATTTCGGCTTAGTTAGCCCTTTACGCGCGTCATACGGTCTGATGCTTAATGCAGACCCGACCACTCAGAATGGGCAAGCGGAAAGCGAGGTTTTCTTGGCCCATCGGGGCTGAGCTGCTTCTACACCAATGCTGCGGCAGTAACACACTTCTGTCATATGCGGTCAGCTCTCATCTTGAGAATCTAAACGAGGTGCGGACGTTAAAGACAAGACATGCGTCATTGTCCTTCAGTACGACCGAGTATACGGGAAAGCAATGTCTGTCTCCTCTAGAAATACTGCCATTGTTTTAGTCACAACTTACTAGAACGTGTAAACTTACCTGTCTTTCTCCTATATGGTTGTTTTTTTTATTATCTTTTTGCTTTCTTTTTCGCAAAGGCGGGTGCTCTCACCCCCCAAGATTTTGTTTTTAAAGCTGAACAACTAAACAGTTGCAAACAACACATCTGAGAGAACAACCATGTTTACCAAAAAATGAATCTTTTTTGCTTGCCTCATGCCTGACTTATTTTCTCAGTGTTTGTCGTTTTCTTTTCTAACCAAAGAATCCAGTTTTCTAATGTAGCTATATTATACGCCAAAAATTGATCTGGGCTGTAGATGTGAAGCTCACACCCTTGTGAAAAAAGAATTCCAACCATTTACCCTAATGTGGTCACCAGAGTTTCTTTAAAATATAAATTTGGTTTCGGGTTTTGTCTTGGCTTTTCACCGACATTTAAACACTGACTTGACCAAAACTCATCATCATACTTTATTGTAAGTTAATATTCTTCTAAGAAAATGTTCGGTTTCTTGCTTACCATAT